ACGTCAGATTTATTTTAAACAGTTTTTGATTTGCCGTTATAAGCGAAAAACGTACGAATTTCTTACGTGGACAAAGCCCACGCGGTAAAATTCATCACGCTTAGATCGTTGTTTACTTGCCTTCATGGCCAGAAATTGCGCAGCGTTATGTTGAAAATTCTGAAAAAAACTTCGATTTGAGGCAAAATTTTCTATTAAACTATACTTTTTAAAAACATTGTTACTCGAACATAATATTTACCGGGCCATCGTGTTATGAGTTCAACTTTTCTTTAGCTTCTTTATTCCGTAATTTTACACTGCACGTGATCCATGAGATCACGTGACTTACAACCCACTTATCATAACATCCCCCTTCTTAAGTTATTTGGCTGTCTTAACAACATTATGCTAATACAAGTGAAAACTGGAACAAGAAGTCAACAACTCAACTGTAGATTAATCTAAAATACAACTCTTTTACATAGCATAATCCTTATGCCAAACCGGAACAGATCTGACCCGAGTAGAGCGACGCGGAACCGAGGTGGCATCAGTATCGGGTAGGTCTGGTTCCAGGTTAGCATCTGATTCTCTAGTTACACTTGGAGAGCTTACACTGGATTGCATGGTTACAGGCTGTGAATCATCAATGAGATCATGATCTAATATAGTAATAAGTGGTTCCTGAGTAAGATGAATATGACGTCTATTTCTACGATACTCTCTACCAGTTTCATCAGTAATCATATATGATCTGGGTGTGTCATGTTTTCCTGTAACTATAGCACGTGATAAATGTTTGTCACCTGGTTTCTTGAACCTTATACTATCCCCTTCCTTAAGTTGAGGTAATTGTTTGGAGCCTTGGCGATCATAGAATTCTTTGTATTTAGCTTGTCGTTTTTCTAGTAATTCTGGAACATCATGACAGTTCTGTGGTACTAAGAGCAAGGGGTGAACAGGAACTCTTGTGCGAATTTGCCTAATGAATAACATTTGGTTAGGTGAATAAGGAAAATTGCTTATTGGTGTGTTGCGGTATTCCATCAGACCTTCATTCAAATTGTACTCCTTTCTTAGTAAGTTTTTAACAATGTTGACCGCCTTTTCTGCAAGACCGTTTGCCTGACTATATGTCGGACTGGTTGTTATTATGTTAATGCCATATTGCGTAGCATATTCCTTCATTTCTCTGGAGTTGTAGGACATGTCTGCAATTAGAGTTTGTGGATAACCATGTCTTGAGAAAATTTCACTTAGACACCTGATAATGTCACTGCTGGCTTTGCCATTGAGCCTAATAGCCTCAATGTACTTTGAATAATAATCAATGACCACAAGGTAGTTTTGATTTTTGTGTTCTAACACATCTGATGCAACAATTTGCCAGGGCAATATTGGGATTTGTCGAGTTTGCATGGGTTCTCTCGACTGCTTCCTTTGATATTTCAGACATTTTTCACAAGAAGACACCATGTCTTCAATTTGTTTATTCATGCCAGGCCAAAATACCGTTGTACGTGAGTAGTATAGGGCTTGGGGCTGTGAGACCAAAACGCCAAAAATGGTAAAAAATCAAGCTTTACCAAAGCAATTTATATCATTCTTCAACCGATTCGCAGCGATTCATTTTCGATAGGCTCAGGACGACTTGATTTTCACCCTCTATAAAACCAAAAATAGTGAAAAAATGAAGCTCTACCAAACTGTTTTGTATTACCATCAACCCTAATTATTCACAAAAATCACGTTTACAAAATATGAAGGAAATTATGGAAATTCTAAACAAAATAGAAAATCAAAATACACTTAAAGAAAATTCACGTTCACAAAATATGAAGGAAACTTTGGAAATATTGAATACACAAAATCAAATGAAACAAAAATTATCTAACCTATATATAGACATGAATAGAAACGAATTACGGAATCTGACAAAAGATCAACTGGTTGATATAATCATGAATTTAAGACCTGTTCCAAAATATCAACCCAAAACATTGAAGCGTAAATTTAAATTCGCTCCACAGTTCAAAAATGTGAAACAGATGGCTCAAGATTATGAAGAAAACATTATCAAACCACCTATTCCTCTACCAAGAACAAAAAACGGACAAGGAGATGGTTCTTGTT